GAAACCTACATCATCGTGTGGTCAGTGACCCGAGCTGCTGAACAGATGGGGAAACTGAGGCTCACAGAGGATCATAACTTGGCCAAGTTTTGTGGGTGGAGGATCAGGATCCAGGTCTGCCCAATTGCAGAGTCTGTGCTCTGGATCATTGGGCAATGATCGCTTTTACTAGCTCACTGTGTGACCGGTGGTGGGTGGCTTCACCTCTCTGAATTCCAGTTTCTCTTGTGGGGCAGAGGGAAAGTGCATTAGTCTGCTAGGGCCGCCACAACAAATGCCAGAGACTGGGCGTCTCAAACAACAGACATTTATTCTCTCACAGTCCTGGAGGCTGGAAGTCCGAGATCAAGGTGCTGGCAGGGTTGTTTTCTCCTGGGACATTTCTTCCTGGCTTGTCGACAGTCACCTTCTCACTTTGTCCTCACGTGGCCTTTCCTCTGTGTGCATCTCCCCCGGCATCTCTTCTTCTGCTTATAAGGACAACAGTCCTATGGGATCAGGGCCCCACCCTTAAGAGCCCATTTAATCTTAATTACCTCCTTAAAGGCCCCATCTCCAAATACGGTCATAGTGGGGATTGGGACTTCAACATAGGAATATCGGGGGACACAATTCAGCCCACAACAGCTGGTAACGATAATATTGTGAGGTTGAAACCCATCAATACGTGTGAACGTGTTTTCCTGGCACCCGATGTACCCAGAAGTATTCTAATTTCTCTCTGAAAGATGGGAAAACGAGCAGAACCGCCCAGGATTGCAAGCACTGCCTCTGTAACTCTCGTTTGCACCTGGAGCCTTCAAGGAGTGGGTTATGGTGAATCGCAACCTGCATTCAAAGAGGGCTGCCGGTAGGGTCTGGGCCGGGGCTACTCCAGCTTGTGGCCCCCTGAGAGTCACCTGGGGACGTGTTAAGATGCGGAGCCTGGTGCTGGATCTGGGGCGGGGCCTGAGCCTCTGCATGTCTGTGCAGCTCCAGGTGAGGTCGTGTTGCTGGGCCAGCTGTGGACCACTCTTGAGAAAGCAACTTCCCAACCTGGAAAGTTTCTGCCTCCGACTGACGGTCACAGCAGCCGACACTACGTCCACCCGTCACGTGCAGACGCTGTTCTGGATGGGGCTCGTGCTTCCCACAACACCCAACGAGATGGCACCGTTATCACTATTATTATCCCCGTTTTGTAGGTCAGGAAACAAGCGCAGAGATCACACGGCCGAGTGACAGAGGGAGGACCGAGCCAGGCTCCAGGCCCGTGCTCTAAGCACTGTGCAGACTGCTCCCTGCGTGGACTGGGCGGGCAGAGCTGCATCCTGGAGTCCCAGAGCAAATCATGAGAGGAGGAGTCGGTGGGACATTACCTCGTGCAAGCCTTTGCTTTAGGACACCACTTTGCAGATGAGGAAACTGAGGCACAGAGAGATTCAGCCTTGGAGGGCAGAGCTGGGTGCAGACCTGGGGCTGCCTCACTCCCAGCCCGGGCGTGGCCTGCACACAGGGCCTTTCCGCTCCTCCAGCCTTCTCGAATTCCATACCTCAGAGTCTCAAGCATGGCTCTTGGACCAGTGACATCAGCATCACCTGGGAACTTGCTGGAAACGCTCCACCCCAGACCTGCAAAGTCCCCTCTGGGGTGGGCCCAGCCACCTGTGTTGACAAGCCCCAGGGACTCAAGCCCAGAGGGTCTCGAATGCGGCCCTCAGTTGCTCCTCCCTCGGGCTTGGGCTCCGTGTCCACCTCCTCGAGCTGAGCTGCTGGGTGTCCACCTGGCATCCGATTTTCTGCATTTGGGCTGGTTTCTCAGAACGCCCTACGGCAGAGTCCCACTTCTCCAAGGGTGGGGAGCTGGGCTCACTACCCGCTGCGGGCAGCGCCTCGTGTCAGTAACACCCTTGAATTAGCATAACCTTCGGCTCTGCAATTCAGAGATGGGCCGAAAGCCCAGTGCTTGCAAATCATCCTCAGGTTATGACTTATTTATGACAGCAGGATGTGTGCTAGACTATCCTGCATCCTTCAGCTGATGAAATGGATCACTAATTAGTCATCTGTTAAGGTGGGAAAGTCTATGTAGGGGGAAGCTCTGTACCAATTACGTTTCTGATCGCAGGTGTCTCCCCTCCAGCTCTCCCTGACCCCCTCACCACTTCTCCTTGTCTGCTTGGGGTGGGCAGGAGCATCTGGGTGGGGCAGCGGGAGGGCAGGTCTGGTTAGATTCCTCTCTGCAGGGCTCTCAGGGAGGAGGTAAGTCCAAAACCCCCTTCCCACCTTTTCTAGGTGGAATCACCTTAGCAAACAGCACACTCTTCATTCAAGTGATGGTCCCACTCTTGCATTTTGAAGGAGAAGGCACATTCCTCAGCAGGAACTTTATTCTTGGGGCTCTGGCAACCCTGACCCTCCCCAGTGGGAATTCAGGTGGGGCTCCCGTGTGCTGGGAGCTGCCCCCTGGCTCATACTACAGGTACAAATCCCTAGGTCTCTCTGGGCCTCTGCTTCCCATCTGAAGACAGGGTTCGGTTGGGTGGTCTCCGAGGCCTCCTGCTCTAGGCACTGTCTTCATCCGAGTGCCCTATGGAGTCTGCGTTTCATCTAATGTAGTGAGTCTGAACTTCCCCAGGAGGGTGGGAGAGGACATGATACTGAGTGTCCCAGCAGCCACTGCTGACCACTGAGGAAAATAGTGAGAACAAGCAAACCTCCCCAAGATTCAGGGAGATGTCCACATAAGAAAAGTTCATCCTAATGCTTATCCGTGGCTCAGCCCAGCTTTTCCAGCACTCACAGTCGACTCCAGGACCTCAGGAAGGCCACACTCAAGAGTTCGGGACAAGAAAGTCAGCCTTTAGAAAAGAGGCTAAGGAAGAAGGCTGTCCCCACAGCTGCAGACGGTCTTGGACCAACACTAATAGCAGAAGATGCATTCCAGGGAACATGGATTCTTCTGCAGAACATGCTTTGCAAGAGGCTGAGCAGACATACTGTAATCATCTTTGAGCTTCAGAGCACATTAATGGTCGTGGGGGTCCAGACAAGGGAGGTGCCTCAGTCAGCTTGGGCTGCATAACAAAACCACAGACGGGGGGCTCAAACAGTAGACATTAATGTCTCACAATTCTGGAGGCTGGACGTGAGAGATCAGGGTGCCCGTATGGTCGGCTGCTGGCGAGGACTCTCTCCCCGGCCTGTCCTCCCTAACCGATTTTGCCCCCTTCCAGTCCCTCTACAAGTGCAACCAGGTGCATGTTAAACGTGAATCCTATCTTGTTACCGCCTTCTTCCTACCTGTGTGGTATATGCCCTGCACCCTCTCGGATGCCCTCCTCCAGCTCCCTGGTTGGGTTTGGGGCCCTGGCCTGGGCTCCCTCAGAGCCCTTTGCCTCTCCCATAACAACACTTCTTACATGTGTTACCACTGTCTGGTTGTTCCCCAGCAGACTCTCACCTCATTACTTGTGCGTCCCCGGCATGCAGCCCGCTGTGTCTGTGGCAAGAATCACCTCCATCCCTGCTGGACTAGGTGCTTGATCTGGGCGAGCCACTGAGCCCTCCGAGCCTTGTCTGTGTGATGAATCCCTCTGTAACCCAATGAGAGAACAGATGCATGTGCATGTGAAGAAATTTGTGGAGAAACACGTCACTTTTATGTGAATGGAGGCCATTTCTGGGGGGTGTGTTTCCATTTAGCTATAGCTAACCCCCCAGCCTATATCTGTCCTCTGATCTCTTTCTATTCTGAATTCAGGGAATATCACAAAACTTGGAGTTCCTGGCCGGGAAGTCCTCAGTTTTAAGGAGCGAGGTGGTGTCCCAGTGGGACACGTTGTCTGTGTGCAGCATAAAGTCCTTCCTATCACCCCTCTCTGGCAGCATTGCTTACACTGAATTTCATTTAGTTTCAACAACAGTGTGGGTTATAAGTGATTATAAAATCACAATCACACATAGACACGTATATGAAAAAAATTATAAAATTATATCGGATTGTCTTCTTCTTTTTCCCAGTTTCGCTGCGTGTTGGTTTGCTATTTGCCGGCTTGGCTTGTGGTCTGTGGATCACCAGCGGACAGGCAGGAGTGGCTGCCAAGGGTTTAAGAACACTTTGTGGGAGGAAACCTTAGCATTGAGAACATTCTCTCCACTGACTTGGTTTGTTCTGGAAATGGGTGAAGACGGCTGTTCTTCGTCTTAGTCCAGTGATCAGAGTGGATGATCCTGTGGGATCCCTGTGGGGACTACCCACTGTGCCGTCTTGTGATGAGGGAGAGGGGCAGAGGTGAGGGGCAGAGGAGGAGTGTTGGCCCACCGGACCTTGCTGACACACTCCGGCTGGCCACATGGAGCCAGGCGTTCCGCTCTAGGGTGGGTCACACTGTGAGGTATGTGATGAAGCATTCCTGGGACCCTCCACTGCTGCTTCCTTTTCTTCCTTCTCCTCCAGCTTTGTAGTTGAAGGAGGCAGGATCTGTCTGAAATGCTCCCCACCTCTCCTCGGAGGATCCTCCTTCAAATGGCGGCTCTGCCATTGGACACACGTCCCTCTGTGGGCACAGGTAGCCCAGTTCCCAAGAGCGCCGGTTATGGCTGTATTTACAGGAGCGTGGCCTGCTTGATTGGGTTTGGGGGCAAGAATCAGAGCAAGGAAATACCGTCCTGCTGGAAGGGAGGAGAGGCAACCCCTCCTTCTCTTCATAATTGCAGAGGAGAATGGCCCTTGGTTGAGTTCAGGACTGACGGATGTACCGTTTGGCCTCTTCCCTTCTGTAGCGTGTGTCTTTTAGGGGAAGTGTGTGCTCCTTTGGAAACTATATCAACAGGTGACCTGTGAAGAACCTTCTGGTATCAATCACAGACGTGACCTTGAAGAGATTAAGACCTATAATTTTTTTAGTCTTCTCTTGCGTGTGTGTGTGTGTGTGTGTGTGTGTGTGTGTGTAATGTTAAACGGGAGGTATAGTGGATTACCTGTGCATCAACCAATTTGATCTTATTGTTTTCTACAGGAGACATGGGTGACAAAGGACAGAAAGGCAGTGTGGGTCGCCATGGAAAAATTGGTCCCATTGGTTCTAAAGGTATTTCCGATGCCCTTCTTGCCTCATGCTCCCTCACAGGCTCACAGCACCTGGGCACTCAGAACAATCGCAGACTCAACGGTCTTGCCTGGTGGCCTTGTTTGTTTTTGTGTCCTTTTTACATGATGAAGTCTGTCCCCATGTTTGCCTTTTGGGCGTGGTCAGAGTTAACTGCTGGCTTTGTGCCCACCAGGGCGGGGCGAGTGCTTCCCCACCCGCAGGATTCCCACGCCGCCCGGGGCGGAGATTCAGGAGCCGGTGCGCCCGGCAAGACTGACTTTTCAGCTTCCACTTCCTTAACCGATTTCATAAAACCCCGAGAGCCCCATCTGAGTAACAGAAGGACAGCGCTCTGGAAACGCTGTCCACCCACCTCCGGGTTCGGTGTCGTAGACTCTGAGACCATGGGGTGGTTCTCCCTGAGAGTGAGGCACAGGAGGGCAACAGCAGTTCTAGTGACAATACGCCTGTGGTTTCCAAATCGTGTCCATCTTGAGACTTCGTTTGACTTGCACCATCCTGGAGAGGAGGGCAGATCAGGGGACTGAGGCCCGGGGCAGTTAAGGGTTGGCCTAGAATTGCACAGCTCTTCCGCCCTCCATCCTCACTCAAGCAGCAGATGTTTTCTGAGCTCCTCGTTGGTCCCTTGCCTGTGCTGGGCTCTGGAGGGCACAGCTGAGTGAAGGCAAGGAGCACCCAGTCCCTGAGCTCTCAGTGAGTGGTCCCCAGGAGGTCTCCCGACAGGTCCTGTGTGGGTGCTAGAAATGAGGAGACTGGGACTGGGAGGGCCAGTGCTTGGTGCAAAGCTGCTGAGAACCAGAGGCAGGGAGGGAGTTGGCTGAGGTCTGCCCAGTGCTGGTGCCTGAGTTCTTGTGCCTCATAACCTGCCTGGGGGTTTGAGCTGTGAGTGGGTTCAGGTGGTTTATTCTGATGAGTGGCCATGGACCTCCCCGAAGCTCAGTCTTTCCCTGGCAGGAAGGGGCCTTTGGCCAGAAGTGTGATGGAGAGTGTGGCCAGCTCAGCTGAGCTGATCTCTGCTCCTGGCAAAGCTGTGGGAGGCACCTGCCCCGTGGATGGCCAGCTTATTAAAGAGCACACAGATAGGCATGGTATAAAGGGGGATATGGATGCTTTACAAAACTTTAAAAACGCTGTGGTACAATATTTGTAACATAAAATTTGCCATTTTAACTATTTTAAGTGTGTAATTCAGTGTCATTAAGTATATTTGCCATGTTGTACAACTATCACCACTATCCACTTCCAAAACGTTTTCATCATCCTAAGAGAAACCCTGTACTCATGAAGCAATTGCTTCTCATTCCCCTCCCTCCAGCCCCCGGAAACCTCTAATCTGCTTTCTGTCTTGATGAATGTGCTTATTCTAGATATTTCATCTAAATGGAATCATACTAGATTTTGTATCTGACTTATTTCAACCAGTATAATGTTTTCAAAGTTCGTCTATGTTGTAACATATGTCAGAATTTCCTTCCTTTTTAAGGCTGAATAATATTCTATTGCATGGATGGACCACATTTCATTTATTCACACATCTGTTGGTGGACATTTGGGTTGTTTACACCTTTTAGCTATTGTGAAGAATGCAATGGATATTGGTGTACAAGTAGGGATGTGTACGCTTTTAATATACAGCATGAGCTCTGGATAAATGTCATGTCTCACCAAGGGACAGCTTGCCAGAAAGACCTTTATTCGGCTTACTTGATTTGCTTATCTCTGAGATTATCATCCCGAGTCCTCATCCACTGATGTTTCAGTGGTTTTCAAGCCCCCAATGTTGATAGACCACAGAGGCATCAGTTGGAGGGAGATTGCCAAGCACTCTCTCTCCCTAGGCAAATGGATTGCGAGTTTCTGGATGGAGGAGTCGCTGCCCCGCATTCCCGCATGCCATCTGAGACACTTGGGTTCCCTCGGGGAGAAGAAAGAACACTTTAAGAATATTCCTGTGACTTGAATATATTCACTGTCTAATTTTGGAATAGATAGAAAGCTTTGTTGCAGGATTTTGTTCAACTCCCTTGTTTTATAAGTTGGGAGACATGGAGGGCAGAGTCCTATATAACAGGAGGTGGAACCCAGGTTTCCCAGTGGCTGTACCTTCCTAGGACACCACGTGCCTCTCGGAGAGGGGTCAGGAGGACTCTGACCTCAGCATAGTCCTGAGTACTCTTTACTCTATTTGGACTAGATCGTCTCTAAGGTCCACTCCAGCTCTAAGACCACACGTTTTATCTGAATTTTCCTGCTGTGATGAGGGACATGGAAAGAACTGGCATCAGATTTAGTTGCTACTTACTCGTGGTGTTATGGATTAATGACATGATTTCTGCAAAGTGTTCTATGAGACATCCGGGATTGCCCAGAATTGGCTTAAAGAATGATCGTCTGACAGTCTCTAAAATCCCGTGATGTGTGTATGTTCCACGTCACATAAATGGAACCTGAAGAATTAATTATGTATAGAACATCACTCCCTAAGTTCACAGCAAAAAGAGAGTCTGGGAGAAATCCCAGGGTATTACACACAGAAGAAATAACATTGTCGACCTAGAACCTTTTGAACTCATGAAACACGTCCCACCTCTGCTTGGTGACTTTGACTTTGCTTTTCTCTTTCAGGAGAAAAGGGAGATTCTGGCGACATAGGACCCCCTGGCCCTAATGGAGAACCAGGTATGGCATAAAGGGTCCAAGGATTTTTAAAACATGTATTTAAAAAGTGTAAATTGTAACATAAAACCGCACTAGGCTGGAAAGGAGTACACATAACTGCCGTGTCCTCTCCTGTCTGTCACACCCTCTTGTAGATGATGTCAGCGTTCCATTTCCTTCCACCTGAGTATTTTTATGTCCTTCCTAGGATTGTAGTCTGCTTGCCGACTACATGTGATCGTGCCTCGTACACAATTCGGCTCAGACACACTGAGCTCGCGGTCCCCATTTCTTCATACCTCTCTGGTGCCATGGGGTCTGCCCCTTCCTCTGCCACCAAACCTCTCAGAACAGTCGTCCTTGCAGCCACTCCCCACCACCCTCTGCTGAGGCTCCCCCAGGGGTCCCCGGGGCCCCCGCCCGGCTCAGTGGACTTAGCCGGCTCCCCTGCTGACCATCCCTCCCTGGTGCCCCTGAGACCTGGCTGCAGGCAACCGCCCTGTCCTCTCTGCCTCCCTTCCCGGCACTGCTACTTCCTCCTCCCTTCTTTGCGGAGCCATCTGCTGCCCTCTCCTCTTCCTGCACGTGGCCATCACCTCCATGGTGGCCCTCACAGTCCAGTCCCACCAGCCCACTTGCCTGCGTGTCTCTCCTCCGGTCCTGCTGCCTGCACCTTCCCTCAACCCCTCTCCCCACGTGGCTACATGGGCCCGCCATCCTCCGCACAGCCTCTCCTTCCCCAGCCACAGTGTCGCCCGCCAGACTGTACTGCACGTCCGTCCCTTTTCTTATTCCTGCTGCTACCACCTCGCTCAGTCTCGCGTGACTTCCAGCTGGGTTACTGAAACACCAGCCTAACTGGTCTGTACTTTCCAGTCTTCTTTCCCGCCAGATGTTGCCCATGAAAGATGCTTAACAGATACTAGATTTAGGTGGAAGACCCGGTGTTTGAGTAACTAGGATATTCTCCCAGTCAGACCCCAACCCTCCTTTCCGCCTCCAACGGATAAGCGTGCCAGTCAGGACCCAGGAGGAAAACCAGTGGAACCCAACGTGGTTCCCAGTGGTTGGGTCGTGACTGCCCCTTCCAGACTGGTGTGTCTGTGGGGACGTCCTGGTGTCCACTTGCTGAATCAGCCTGTCTTTCTCGCACTCACACATGTCGTGTCTCCATCAGATCTCGTTCACCTTGACAGTACCATTCAGAAAGTAGTCTCTGAGAAAGGTCTGACTCTCAGAAACAAGGGGGAAAAGAGAGGCGTTACATTTCAGAATAAAAGGCCCTTGTTTAAAAAGCCCCCAAACCGCCAGAGAGGAAGAGGAGTACTGGCCTGGGAGGAATGCCTTTGCCCATGTGAGTTCAGTCCCTGGAGGTGACAGCAGCAGCTCTCACAGCCACCTCCGGACACGCGGGAAATCTGAGTCCGGAGAAGAGGACCTGGCAGCACGTGAGGGGCAAGACAGGGAGCACGTCCCTCAGATGGGCCTTTACTGTGAGACGAGGGAACTTGTCAGGCCTGTACAGGTCAGAAGCTTCGAAAGGAAAACGAAGAAATGAATCCCCCCTTCTCACTGGAGAGATATTGCAGAAAGCCTCAATACCTCACACCTCAGTGAACTTGAAGATAACATTTATCTTAGGAAATTTATCTTAGGTGAAACCTCCATTAAAAAACCCAAACCCAAGCCTAAGCCCAACAAACATCATTTCAAATGCCCAAGTGTGAAAAGGACCCTTGTGTGTGGGAACTGAGGGGGCATTTTGGACTCTAAGTGTTGGAGGATGGCTGAGACTTTGGAAGATCGGTTCAAACTTCTAAAAGATATGTGCAGACTGGAGGGGTGGGCTGAACACTTAGCACGAGGGAATTTTGCAGGGAAAGATGACACGTCCTGCACTTAGGCTCACAGCAGTCAGAGTAGAGGGCGGGTGGGAGCTGGGCCGACACCGCTCCAGTTTTGTGGAGAAGATGGAAGCCAGCAATGCCGGGACGGATCCCCACACGCTGTGAAGGCGAGCGATGTTCTGAGAAGGCTCTTGACAAAGTGGAGCTCTTCGCAGGAGGAAGATTGGGATCTTCTCACAGGGGCCAGGAAAAACCACCTAATCTGAGGCGAGGTTGGCAACGCTAGGATGATTTAATTCAAGCAGTGTATCAATCAGCCGGTGGGACTTGTTGAGGGGCCACGTGTCCTGGACGCTCTGCCCCAGAGGGATCAATTTCCTCCAGGGGTTTCTGGTCCAGCCAGGGTGACACAAACACTGGATGTTGGAGCTAGACTCACCGAGACTGCTGGGGCTTGCCGGCCCTGCGATGTCGGCCAAGGTGACCAGCATTTTATGGGCCTCAACGTCCTCACATGTAAGACAGAGGTAACTCCAGAATGCAGTCATCATCTCCCTCGCATCATCATTAAATATGCTCAAGTTTTTCCTACCTTCAATCAAAACAGTGTTTAGAAGCCCCCAGAAGCCCACCCTGACTCCTGGCCCCTCTAGCTGTGCCACAGCCCCATCTCTGGAGCACTCTCTTTATTGAGGACTTCCATTTCCTCCCTCCCGTTTCTGCCCCAACACCCCCGACACTGCTTCTGCTGAGAAGTCCCCGGACCTCCTTGTGGTTGGATCCAGGGCACTCTCAGGCCTCCCCCTGCTGGACCTCTGGCCGCACTTCCCGCTGTGGGCCACGCAGGGTCCCTCCCAGCCCCTCCCCTCCTCCACACACATGCCCACAATGCCCAGATCTATGCCCAGGCCCAGACGCCAGCTCCCATTCTCCACCCGGATGTCTCACAGGTGCATTCCTCTTCCCGAGCCCAGCTCCACAATCGCACCACCTCCCACTGAGTCGCTCAGAGAACTACCTGGGTGTCTCCTGCAGCTCCTTCCCCGAGTTCCACCCCGATATCCAGACAGTCACTGAGTCTGGTTGGTTTTCCCCACCATTTTTCTCAAATGTTTTGTGTTCTCTCCGTCTTCACTGTCACTACCCTGAGCCAAGCCAGCGCAATCCTCTCAATTGCTGTCATAACCCCCCGCTGTGCTCTCTGCTTCCTCTCTTGCCCCTGCACCTCCCTTTCCTCCTTCCCAGGGCAACGAGAGCGATGTATTAAAACAAATCGGGTCTTGGCCCCCCCCCCCCCCCCCCCCGTCGTTAAAGTCCTTCCCCCGCTGCTCCTTGCCTTTAGGATAAAGTCTGAAATCTCCGTCCCAGCCTTGGAGGCCAGCATGGTCTGTTTGTGGAATAACATTTATATTTGGGGGAGGGGTACTTCTTTTCTGAGCCCAACCCCTTGACTGTTCTTCAACATGTAACCGACCTGGTCTCTGCAGGCATCCCGTGTGAGTGCAGCCAGCTAAGGAAGGCCATTGGGGAGATGGACAACCAGGTCACCCAGCTGACAACTGAGTTAAAATTCATAAAAAATGGTATGTTCTTCTCGGTGCTTCCCGGCTCCCCTGCCTCCCACCCCCACCCCCGCCTCCTGGTCCCAGAGATGGAGTGGCTCCGCGTTACCGTTTCCACGTCCCGCCGCCTGCTGTCTGTGTCTGTCTTGTGTGTGTGGAGTGTACTGAGTTTGTTTACAGAAATGCAAGTGCTCACTTTTCAGCACTGCCCTCCCCCGCAGCTGTTGCCGGCGTGCGCGAGACAGAGAATAAGATCTACCTGCTGGTGAAGGAGGAGAAGAGGTACGTGGATGCCCAGCTGTCCTGCCAGGGGCGTGGAGGCACGCTGAGCATGCCCAAGGACGAGACCGCCAACGGCCTGATGGCCGCCTACATCGCGCAGGCGGGCCTCGCCCGCGTCTTCATTGGGATCAACGACCTGGAGAGAGAGGGCACCTTCGTCTACTCAGACCGCTCCCCCATGCAAACCTTCAACAAGTGGCGCAGTGGTGAGCCCAACAACGCCTACGACGAGGAGGACTGCGTGGAGATGGTGGCCTCCGGGGGCTGGAACGACGTGGCCTGCCACATCACCATGCACTTCATGTGCGAGTTTGACAAGGAGCACGTGTGAGCGGGAGGCCAGCCTCTGAACCCTTGCTTTTCATGGCTTTGTTGGCAGGGCTCCTCCACGACGGTGACGGTGACGGCGGCCGGCGGCTGCCCGACTGTAGGCAGCAGAGTTCTTCCCAATGGCATCGTCCTGTCCAGAAGTGCAGGGGTTCCTTGAGTAAAGAAAGAGCTGTTTTTTCTGAACCTTAGAGAGTGGTGTATGCTTAGGAGAAAAAAAGTGGTGTGATTTCTGAGGAAGTAAAGTTTATTACTTGTATTGTAGCCAAAATTACATAAATGTTCATTTTGTAATTATTACTCAGAATTGCTCTTGCCTTTGTCCAAACTATAAAATAAAATATTTGAACATTACAATAGTTAAATACAAACAATGGTAGTGGGGTCTTAAATTACCATCTTCCTTTAATTTCTGTATGGAAAAGAACTCACTCAATTTTGACCAAGGTTTCTGTAAATTATATTAAAATATATGTTTCTTTTCACTATTATCCAAGTAGAAACAATTTTGCTTTGCTGCAAACTCAGATTTCAGGAAAAAGAAAAATAAATTCCCCAAACTCGACAACTGAATGTGTGCTTTTGTTTGGTTCTCTTAATTTCTTCAATAGCTGTAGTGGTTGTCTATTGCTGTATCATAAATTACCCCCAAACTTAGTGGCTTACAACAAAAATATTAGTGATCTCAGAGTTCCTGTGGCTCTGGACTTTCCTCAGGGCTTAGCTGGGCCTCTGCTTCACGAGCTACAATCAGCCATGTGGTGTGGGCAGGAGTCAGCCCTCCTGGGCTGCTGGACTGACGGCCTCAGTTCCTAGCCACGTGGACCTCTCCATGGGCAGCTCCCCATACCACCCCTGGCTGCCTCAGAGCAGCAAAGAGGAGCCAGAGAGCAAGTGAGACAGTCACAGTCTGTTGTAACCTCATCTGGGAAGTGACGTCCATCACTCACTGTCACTGCATTCTCTTGGTTAGGAGCCAGTCCCCAGGTCCAGCCTGCAGGCTTGGGAGGGGACTTCACAAGGAGGCTGGCACCAGGAGGTGAGATCCCTGGGGACATCCAGGAGCTGCCTACCACAGTGACCATAATTCTTTTCCTTTTTGTACATCAGAATCCCCAGTAAAAAATAATAGACATCTTCATTTTTCAAAGAAAACACAAACATGCACATACAAAGGAAAACTAGTAGGGACTGTGGGAAGATGATTCTCCAGAGGCTTCCCCTGTTCGTGCGAGTCTTTCGAGTGAGACCTTGACTGCCTGCTGTTCCAGACCATCTTCCAAGGATGTTTGTATCATGGACTTCCTGGGAGGACAAGACGGTGGCTCCTCCCCCGGCCCCAGCTGGAGAAAAGGGCAGGTCTGCTGAGAGCTTCTAGGGCGACGGGCAGGCACAGGGACTGTCCAGCATGTTGAAGACGCTGTCTCCCTCCAGAGGGAAGGGCCGCATGCTTCCTGTCACTGGAAAAGGCTCGGGTTCCCTAAGCTCAGGGGGCCTCTGCTGTAACTGACCCCTGCATGTGTGGGTGTTATCTGGTCCTCTCCGTGCACCCTGCAGGGACGGGAGCTCAGGACCCGGCAGAATGCCGACCCTGGCTACCGCGATTACTGTAGGTACCAGAGGGGTCAATGCAGCAGAGCCCCTGCAGCCACCCACGGGAGCAGGAGGACTGGCATCGACAGGCCTCTGGGCCTCCTGGCATTCCCCATCCACAGCCTACTGGCCAACTGGCCCTGAGCTGGCCCAGGTGCCCCACCTCTCACAGGACAGACGCCTCCCTTGTGCCCAGGGGCAGATCCAGTCCATGGGGGGCCAAAGGCTTATGGCATGTGGGGGCCTGTGCAAGAAAACTGAGGCAGAATGGTGACCGTGTTTAGGCAGGGGGCCTGGGAGGAGCCTAGGCGGCACGGTCCTGAAGGCTCAGCTCCAACAGCCTCATGGACGTCGCCTCTGTGCATGCGACTGCTCTCAGTCACCGGGAACAGAGCTCCCGCTGCTTTATTCTGGGCGGGCCAGAAGTGAGTTCACCTGGCTCATGTGCCTACCGTGAGTCTCTCTGGTCTTGCTTCCTCCCCTGTAGGTGAGGAGGTCTGATGGAAACACCTCTGCGCTCTGGTATTGCCTCCAAATCCACGTGAAATGGGAGGGACATCAGCTGATCCACGTCCACTCCTGTCGCTTCCACCACTAGGCTTTGCTCGGAGGACTCTGCTAACATTTAACATGGTAAAGGCGCCCAGGCCTTTGCCCGTACCCGGGTCGTACGCCTCTATCAGATTATGAGCGTTTTAAGGTAAACTCAATTGGATATAAACAAGTGGGCCTGAAGTCACAACCGTTGCCCCTAATTTAACTCCCCTAGCTTTTCGGGAAGGGACCGTTGTGTGGACTGTGGGAGCTGCTTTGCAGAGTAGGAGGGAGGCGGGCTGGTTGAGGAGAGAGCTGGGGTTTATTAGGAGCAGCAACGAGCCCTGGCCAAAGAGCTGGTGTCTGTATTTTTCCAGAGCCCTCCGTGAAGCATGGGCTGCGATGGATGAGCATGAAGACACAGCCCAGGGCCGCGCGACAGGCGACTGCAGATCTGTATGTCCACACTGCCATCCAGCGGTCGGAGGGGACAGAGCCCCCCCCCC